CCTTTTCCTAGCAGCACATAAACCTCAAAAGGCTGATGACTGCAGCAGGTGTAATTAAGTGCAGTGATTCAGTTGCGTGGCCGAGTTGTATTACAACCATGATGATGATGTCGGCCAACATGTTGCTCTATAGGTCATTAGACAATGTTCTCCTCGGAGTTCAGCCTCTGTAGTTAACCCTCAGTTTATGCGCAAAAGTCTCTGCACGCGACGAAAAAGTATGTTCAGAAAGAAGCATGACATCTGCTCATTCCTTGACGCGCTTGCCGCTCGTTTTGCGCATGCAAATTATCTCATTATGCGTTAAGTAACCTTAGTAGTTTTATGAAGCGTCAAAGACCTGTCGTAACTTCGTGTGATGACCCCAGACGTCACAGTGATGGCTCGGTGTGACATATAACCCCAGACATTTCGGTACGCCAGCACCTATTTGGGTCTTTATGAGAATTTGAATTCACGCCACTTGAGTTGCCCTGAAAAACGTGACTGAAAGCGTTGTGGAAGGTATGCTTGTTATCTTAAGTGAATGAGTCCGACAAATGAACACCTGCTTGCATGTGTTAGTGGTTTTCGAGCATTGACAGACAGTGCCTTGGACGGGTACAGAACGATTGGTGATAGCTGATGGAAATAATTGCTGGGAATAAGGTAATTGAAGGGTGGCGGGATTAATGCCCTTGTTTTTCTCGCTTGATTTTAGCTGTCAATTTGCTTCAAAGAAACTAATAAATGCATGGTTTCACGCTCGATGGATGCGATGCGCACAGTAATAGTCATTCTTGGATCAAAGCCATCATCAATCCGCACAGGTATTGCGGTCCCCTTGTCAACAAAACGTCGGTAGCATGAACATGCAGGATGGGAAAAATCGTGGATAACCCATATATAACCAAGATTCGACATGCATGTGATAAGAGAATGTGGTGTACGAATAAAAAGAGATCAGAAAATCCCATACACGACACCATCGCCAACTCAACCGAGTCGATTTTGGCCAATCAATACTCGGAGCAGATGCTGTTTAACCTTCGCTCTGATTCGTTGTTTGTGTAACGTAGACTGACAGGGGGTCGGGAAACCCCCTCCCTGCCTTGCGGGAGCCTCGCGAGAGATGCCTTGCCTTGCGGGAGATGGGTCAGTAAATTACCCAATTATGCCAAGTCGAAGCTCAGTTTTTTTCCTGACGATCGAACTATTTCAGCCTTAGGTACATACTTATATTTACGGCCCCATACCACGCGGCAACAGATGCGTGCCCATGCATGTTATTTGTTTAATTTTAGCACGTTGTGTGCTTTGAGCATTATGGTTCAGGGCCGCGTTAATGTAGCACCGTCGACCCACCGAGCAACATTGGCGGGCTGGTCCTTTGACGTTCTCCACCCGTACCGGCCGTGGATAGCAATGCAGTGTTCCTAAAAATATAGCTGCTTCTCAGAAGCCTGAAAAGCTAGAGACGCGTTTTTATGCCAACTGGCGCGCATTAAATGCCTTAGAGGCTACGAAGAACTTGGGTGGGATTATGCGGAATACCAGAGAGATATCCTCAAGAAGACTTAGTGGCGAGGAAGGCGCATCAACCACCTATCAGGGTGAAGGTTGAACGTTAACCTAAACCGCGCACCGTTCACTCCCCGGATGTTTGGTTGTGCCTATCGGCCTTAACTGGCTTAGAGTCCTGTTCAAACGCCAGTGTTAAGCTCCTTGAGGGTAGCTACTGGGCACAGACAGCTGCTCGCCCTGTTTCGTGGATCAGACATGCTCGCGGTTGTTTTGAGTGAGACGGATCCGACGAGCGGTGCAGTCAGGTTGACTAGAAACGCAACTTTCGTCCAGAAAGCAAACAGGTTGAGGACAGAAGCGTTTCGTTAAGTCGTGCCACCCCAGAGTTTCTGGCATGCCAGGGGTGTGATGAAATGAATGCTCTCTCAACAGGACACGGACCGCAAAAATTGAAGTCTTCTAGATAATGTCGAGATCTTTGTCGGTCCCTTTGCAGAGACTTGCACTCGTAAAGAGCGCAGGTCAATTTTGCGAGAGGCCTGCAGAGTGATGGAGCGGGGATGGACAGCGCAGGAGCCAACTCTCGGCAGCCTGGTGGGAAGCGCTGTGGCCGTCCTTGGGCAGCGAGTCCAGGGGCAACGCGGGGACCGATACCAACGGAAAACTCGTCCATCACCTCTGGCGACACTGATGAAGGTGTCTGTGCAGTGCACACTCGTATTGCTGCAGGCTGCGGTATGTTTTGCGTCGCACCAAATCCTGCTCCCAGCTCCAGCACCTGCTGTTCGACGTGACGCCGTTTGTCCGACCTGAACGCAGCTCGGGCCAGCCAGTCGGTGCGCTGTCCGGTATCTGCCAGAACCGTGACCGCTACACGCACCTGCAGGACCTCGGCACGGTCCGGGAGTACTTAACAGTCGCTGTGTGATACCAAAGATGAGAGGTGCGGTGTGGTGGCGCAACGTCACGGTCCTGGTAGAGGTGCATTGTTATATAATGAAGTTGACAGAGTTAACGAAGCTCGTGTGTTCAAGCGCAAGTAACATTGGTGATGAAAGACGGTACGCCAAAGTCGGTAGTTAAAAGATCAGATCCCAAAGCATGCAGATTTAAGTGCTTAACAGGAGCTCGGGTGGGGGTCAAATTGACCCTCCAAAGGTTTTCCCGGAATGGTTTCCGAACGGCGCGATGTAGACGTAGCCACGCCAAATTTTGCAAAGTTGTAGACAATTAAATAGCAGATCGTCTGACATTAACAGTTGAGATGTACCTTGTAAGATCACTGGCCTATGACAGGTCAAAGTCAGGCCATGGTTTCAGCGAAGGCACGTTCTAGGGAATCGTTCAATCCGATCAAACAACGGAGTGGTAGACGAAGTCACACATCTCTGAGACACTTTCTTAGGCAACACAACACTTGAGTTAACAAATAGCAAAGACCTAGGGTCAGGCATAAAGGTCAGACCAAGGTCAAAACCAACCTGTTTTATTACTCTCGGGCTTGCTGTATGGGCTGGTTTCTGGTGATCATTTCGAATAGATCGATAGCAGGAACCGCATTATACACCTTCCATGGACTCGTTATAGGTCAGGATAGGTCACTGACCTAAAATGACACCGGTCAACATTTTTTTTTTAAAAGCATACTGCCCAGCATAATCTTTGTGGCTTATCCAAATGCAAAACTCAAAACAGTCATATCGTTTTGGTCGTCATGGCTTATAAAAGGCAAACAATGGCACTGACCTTAACTGAGCGTGGGACATTTTGCTTAGAACAGTTGCGTAGGTTCTAGGGGCCTTGTGGAGATCAATCTGGAATATGACCTTGTTTGATCTTATCTGATCTGAAGGTCATGACCTAGGAGCTTCAAACTTTGATCTAAGAGAGTTCACGTACGGGTCAACACACCTTGTGAACTTGGTGTCTCTAGCTATCTTAGTTCCCGAGATCTCAGGGGGGGGGGGGGAATTGGCCCCCTCCACTGGAGTGAAGAGTATACAACCGGCTACCCGGGTGTGTGTTAAAAGGTCAAACAAGGTCACTGACCTTAGACGAGCGGGTGGCATTTTTCTTAGAACAGCTGCCTAGGTTGTAGGGGCCCTTTGGAGACCAATCTGGAATTTGACCTTGTTGGTCTTATTTGTCCCAAAGGCCATGACCTAGAAACCTCAAACTTTGACCTAAGAGAGTTCACGTACAGGTTAACACACTCTGTGGATTTGGTGTCTCTAGCTCTCTTAGTTCCCGAGATCTCAAGTATCGAACCGGCCACCCGGGCGCGTGTCCAAGGATGGCCACGCCACGACGTGCGATTTGGAACACGGGCGGGCGGTTTCAACACGACGCGGGTAAAGGGATACAATTCAAATGAGAGAAGTGGGTTCCACTTTGATGCCGACAAATCAGCTTTGTTCCAGTGAGCGATCAAGGCCACCAGACAAGTGAGCAGATCCAACAGGCTGCTCGGAGCCCAACTGCGACGACTGTTGGGACATTCGGAATTTGTCCCGAGTGCGTTCTTTTATAGCCGTGGTTAAGATTTCCGTTTTATTTTACGTTTGAAATGAGCTCTCAAACTTTGGTCATCTAAGCCACCTGAAGATTTTTAAAGCGACTATCTATAAACGAACAGAGACCGGATTGTCACTTTTAGACTCACTTGGCAACCAGTGGGCAATCGATCCACTCTGTCGTCACGAGGCATCGCCCTAAAACTGGCAGGAGCACGAAGACCGGTCTACGACAGGCACGGCTCGCACAAAGCACAACTGTAGGCTGCTGCGCCGGCCCACTGCCGCCCGGCGGCTGGCGGAGCGTGCGTGCGGTTAGTTGCAGCCCTGGAGCGGTGGAGAGAAAATCAAGGAGCGCCAGTTAGCGAAGGAATAAGAGCCTGGCTAAATTTGTTATCAATCTCAGATACACGAACACAGCAAATTAACTCCATATTTTACTTATATGTCACGCAGCTAGGTTTCTCCTAGAAGACCGTTGCAGCTTTTGTCTTTCCTCGCGCTGGGGAAGTTTCCTGAATGGTCGTGATTGCACACACCCCTCAACTAAATCATCGGTGGTGGAAAGGACAGCCGCGTGTCTTACACCCTGTATTGTAGTGTGTTTTACACCCTGTATTTACACCTGTATATACACCCTATTATTACATCCATTGTGTATTACGCTGCGTCCGGCGGCTGCTCTGGCTCTCACGTCGGTTTTACACCCTGTCCATCGTGTAGTACTCTGCCTCCGGCGGCTGCTCTGGCTCCCACGTAACCTTCTTTCTCCCCGTTGCAGGTAGCAGCCAGCGGCGGCATCCGAGGCGGGACGCCCAGGAGGTGCGGCCCGACCAGCTGGGCGTCGGCGACAGCGCAGAGCGGTTGATCCGCTCAGTCGGTCGGTCGACTCCAGCAGGTCGGCTGTTGGCGGCGGCTGGTGCGGGCAGCCGTCTCAGCGACACGGAAGGAGGCCCTCGGCGGCGGCGGTGACCGAGGCGCGCCGGCTCCCAGCGTGACCCGGGAGCGGTCATCAGCAGTCCCTGCGGAGGCGCGGCCAGCCTCCTCGTCAGCGCAGGCGCTTCTCGTCGGTGCGACGCGCCATGGCGAACGCCAACGGCAGCAGCGAGCTAGTGGGGCTGCACAACGTATCGGCCGACTTGCTGCAGAAGAAGTGTCCCATGATGTGGGACTTGGCCCAACCGTGCGACCTGTCATTCATGGCCGACCTGATCTCCGGAGGCGACGCGGCCATCCTGGCCCAGGTGCGTCGCATCCACAACAGCATGGCAGGGGTGGACGACGACTTCCTGGATCGGCTCAGCATGAACCGCAGCGTCGGCGACGGAGCCTTCTACACTATCATCATCCTGTACGCGCACCTCATTTGCTTCGGCGCGATCGGCAACGGGCTGGTGGTGCTGGCCGTGCTGCGGAAGGCGACGATGAAGACGGCGCGCAACATGTTCATCCTAAACCTGGCTGTATCGGACCTGCTCCTCTGCCTGGTGACCTCGCCGTTGACGCTGGTTGAGATCCTGTCGCGGTACTGGCCGCTTGGTGCTGGCACCGACTTCCTCTGCAAGCTGTTCGGCGGGCTGGAGGCGGTCTCCGTGTTCGTCTCCTCTATGTCCATCACGGCCATCGCGCTCGACCGCTACCAGGTGATCGTATACCCGACGCGCCAGAGTCTGCAGCTGGCCGAGGTGTGCATCATCCTGGGCTGCGTGTGGTCGCTGGCCACGCTGCTGGCGTCTCCCATGTTCGTGGTTCGCGAGCTGGAGCACCACGCCATCAACGAGACGGTGGTCGGACTGCCCGACACGTTCGACTACTGCGTCGAGAGCTGGGGCGTGGAGCGCGGCCGGGCCTACTACTCGGTCTTCAGCATGATCTGCCAATACGTGCTGCCTATCGTCACCGTCAGCGTCGCGTACGCGGGCATCACGCGTAAGCTACGCTTCCGCATGTCATCGCTGGCCAACCGGACGTCCAGCTTGCGCGAGAGCCGCGAGCAGCGCGCGCGGCGGACGCACACGCTGCTGGTGGCCATCGCGCTCATCTACGCCATCTCCTGGATCCCGCTGAACATCTGCAACCTGGTGTCCGACTTTGTCTCGTTCCGCGACATGGAGCAGATGCGCGTGGTGTACGCCGTCTGCCACATGATCGGCATGTCGTCCGCCTGCTCCAACCCCATACTCTACGGCTGGCTCAACGACAACTTCCGCAAAGAGTTCGTGGACATCCTTCAGCGGGCGACGCCGTGCTTGTCGCGGCCGACGCCGCCGGCGGCCGTCGACGAGCGGACGCAGGCCGCCCTGCTGACCGGCAGCCAGGTCAACGGCCGCAGCCAGCCGGTCAACGGCCGCAGCCAGCACGTAGAAGACACGCAGATCACGCACGACATACCTCTCCATCATTTGTGAGACGGCCCTGCGAGAGATGGCCCAGTGCAGCGGTGCCACTTGATAGAAAACGGTGAGAGGCGGCGGCTCACTGCCCCACTACTTGTGTTGCGGGGGAGGGGTGGGGGATGCGGTGAGGGGGAGTGTGGATAGTACAGTCAGAGGCTGTGACATGCTGCTCCACTTATTGGGAGCGGGCACGGTAAGAGACAATGACACGAACTTTCAGGTGCACAAAAGTTCCGCCGTCCAGTGGCTGCGTTGAGATATTGGTGCATATCGGTTTGACATGTGACATATTGGTTTCGGTTGGATTAGAGCCCTTTCGTCTGCGCGTGGCCATTCCAGGGCTAGGAATGAAGGAGAGCCCGTGGTGGTGAGGCAGGATTACATGCAGGGAGTTATCCCGCCCAGAGCAGTAAAACGACCCCTTAGGAGCTTGTGCTCGTCGCTTGGGCGGGCCCCTACAAGGTTGCACTCACCACACTCATGGCTGATACATGCAGCTTGACCCTGACCCAGCTTGACCCAGCTTGACCCTGACAAACAGAGCGTCACAAGGATGCAAGATGAAGCGAAAATGAGAAAAAAGGGTGGGTGCAATCATTTGCACCACACGTGCACCATAGCTAAGTCTGCAGTACAACACAACGGAGCCCGCATCTTCCACTGCGACATCGACGGCGAGATACAGGGAATGACATAAGTTGGCTCTAGCGTTGACGATGGGCTGGAAAATGTTCTACCAGCTTTTTAACACGCGCACGGGTGGTCGGTTGGATACCCTCCGCTCGGGTGAGGGGGGTCAATTTGACCCCCTTAAGATATCAGGAACTAAGAGAGCTAGATGCACCAAATTCACAAAGTGGGTTGACCTGTGCGTGAACTCACTTTGTTCAAAGTTTGAGGTTCCTAGGTCATGACCTCCGGGTCAAATAAGGTCGAGCAAGGTCAAATTTCAGCCTGGTCCTCCAAGCAAAGAGCCCTGAGAACCTAAAAAATGATTCTAAACAAAATATGGCATGCTCATCTAAGGTCAGTGACTTTGTTTGACCTTTTGAAGGTCATGGTGACCGCTATCATGCAAGACTGCTTTAAGCTTAGCATTTGGATAAGCGACAAAGATTACACTGGCAGTATGTTCCTAAAAATGAAATCCTGACCACGGTCATTCTAGGGTAGTGACCTATTCTGACCTTTAAAAAGTCCATGGAAGGCGTATAATGCACTTTCTGTTGTCAATAAATTCGAGATAAGCACCAGACACTGCCACACACAGCGAACATTAGAGTAATGCAACCGGTTGTTTTTGACCTCGCTCTAACCTTCATACCTGGCCCTAGGTCAATGCAATTTGTTCATTCAATTGTTGTGTTGCCTCAGAAAGTATCTTAGAGACGTATGGCTTCATCTAACACTCCGTTGTTGCATCAGATTGAACGATTCCCTAGAAATTGCCTTCGCTGAAAGTATTGCCTGACTTTGATCTGCTATAGATCAGCGACCTTACAAGTTACATATAAATTTGTGATGTCAAACGATCCGCTATTCAACTGTCTACAGCGATGCAAAATTTGATGCGGCTGCGCTGCGTCGTTCGGAAATCATTACGGAAAAACCTTCGGGGGGTCACTTTGACCCTCACCCCAGCGCGTGTTAAGGGTCGCTTGAGAGTGTGACATGTATCAGAATGTGTCGAAGGGAGAGGATCGGCTTGGAAGCGTGGCCAAAGCTGCGCACTACCTTAAAAATGAATATTATCCCGAAATGCGGCGATCGAAACATGATTCTTGTCATCACCGAGCGTTTATAGGTTCTTCAAAAATGCCCTGCACTGAATGGTGTCCATCGGGGTCAGCTGGCACTACATCCTGCAGGCACCATCATTATATGATATCAAAAATCGCACGCGCCAGGTCAACATGCGTGTCTGAGTGGGGCAGCGGGATATTATGTGTTAACGGGCATCTCGTCTAACAGGGCAGTCATGTTTCGACAACGATCAGAAATCAGTATCACAAAACGACTCACCGATTTCGAAATCAACCAAACTAGGTGGAATAGTGACGACATGCGCTGCAAAACATCCAACCACATTGCTATATAAGGGTCTCGAGTTGTTTGCATAAGTAGCTTGGAGTAACAATAATTTACCAGCAGAGCTTTTTGCATGTACCCTGACGCTGCCACCCAAGTCATGACGCTCATTTCCACAAATAATTTTGCCCGCACCCTTCCGCCAGAGAAAACCGCGGAAAGCTGTATATAACGCAAGCCACCGCACAGCACGGACGCCCTGGGCCTGGGTAGGCCATGGAAGGTCGAAAATCGCAGCGCTAGGTCGTTGTCCAATGTCTTCTCTCGTTCCCGTCGTCGTTCAATTGCCAGTCGATATTTGTGTGTCAGTCGGGCCGAACGAAACGCCCGCTCTGGGCCTCGTACCCGATCCGGCTGGCTGACAGGCTCGGCATCTTTCTCCGGACCACGGACCAGGCCTCGCCCAGACTGCAGTTTTCTGGGACGAGACCACCCATCGCTCGGCGGTCGGTGAATATTTCTCGTTTGGAGAGCTCCTGTCACCAAACGCGGAACGTCAGATGTCAAATTAATGCTCGTCGTGCAAGTGCATGGTGCTGTTCTGGCAGACGTACCATTGTCAGGAGGTGTCAAGACTGTTCGGCAGGCTGATGTAAGCCATTGGAGCAAATCTCCGCCGGTGCGCGTCGTTCCCGATCTTCCTGATTGTTTACAATCTGTTCTTTGACTCCGATAATTTCTTATGATTGGGATGTTTAAATGGGCTTTTATCGACACAGCTGCAATTGGCCACTATCCACCAGGTAATCAAAACATCGACACAAAACAGCCCATTGGCAATTGCCCTCCTCCAATATGGCACTCAGCTGCGAGCGTCGACGGCAATATTGGTTCGGTGAATGCAAACTCTCGCTTGAATCTTGGCTAGTTTTCCACCCTTAGGCTTTCGTGCATAGAGCTTACTCAACAACTGCTCAACTCTTCGCTGCGGGCTGCAGTTAGAATACCGTCGTTAGCCTTACAAACTGAGACCATCGCTGTCCGAGCCGTTGCTTGACTGGGCTAGGTTTGCAAAGCACAAAGCCAAGCGAATTCCACATCGCTAAATGGCATATCTGAGTGGGCTGTTCAGCCGCAAATCCCTCATATCATTTTTTCAGTAGTAGATAGCGTGCAGGTAGGGATCACGTGGCTGGCCCAAAAGCTAGCTGTCTGATATTAGCCCATCACGAAGGCCGCGCTGCTATGCCGTTTCCACAGAACGAGGAGGACCAGAACACACCAATCAGCACGCAAAATACGTTTCCGCATAACTGTCGTGCTGTTGCCATGGTTGCATGATTTCCGTTTTCTTCACCCGCGTACCAAATTCAACCGTGCACCACAACCTCACACGTGCAGCTCCAAACATAAACCTTCATCTTTCTCTTCGAACCTGGCTTTCTGTTTTACATTTTGCACGGTGGCCTGCAATGTAATCGACGTTTGCGATCATCGCGATACAATACAAGTATTACAAGCGTAGCGGTAGCAGATATGACCTTCGGTAAACGTTCATAGCGACCCGCCGCATTTTCGTACCACCACAGGCTCGCTGGTGTCGCTCAGTAGAGCCATTACCTACACTCCGTTGGCCACCTGCCAACCTTGGCGGCATGGTAAGCATCGTGCATCACGACAATAAAATAGGCTTCAGGTTTCCTGCACTCCGTCTTCTACGCGATGGGCACTATCCACACGAAAAATAAACGTTGACCGCCGCCCATTATAACGACCCAATTTTGACTTCCTGAAGCCGCCATGTGTAGAACAATACTTTGAACATTAATAATCAAGACTTTTGATGCTGACATTTTGTCATTGCCAAAACTGAACTCTCTTGCATGACATAACGCCGGTTGATGCCGCATGGTTCATGATCCAAGCCAGCAGAGGGAACGAAAGCTTACGCCCGTCTCCCACACAACAGAAATGGTCTGATCCGTTTCCTTAACCTTCGCTCTGCTTCACCGGTTCTCATAACGCCGACTGACAGAGGGGGGATGCGACCGATCCCTTGGCGTTTTCAAGCTAATGAAGATAAAGCTTAGCATGAGCACCAGTGCTTGGTCTTGACGAGATCTTGCGACTTTTGCTGGCTTTCAAGTTGGTGGTTTAATAATTGACCTCATTATGGCAGGTCAACGGTCGAATTTCTTAGAAAATCGTGCTTTTCAGCTTCTCCAACGGGACCATGCCCTGTAGTGAAATGAAATTTGGACAGGCGCGCTCCTTGTTTAATTCTGAGTACAATCGTGTATATGTTTATGTGTTTTGTTTATATGCATCAGATATGGCTCCGTTAATGCAGCAGTGTCGGTCCGCCACGCGTTCCGCGGCACCATCGCTTGTCGCCCGCTTTCCGCGCCAGCCGTTGATCGCCGTGCAGTGTTTCTCAAAAACCACCACTGCTCCAAAACCAGAAAAGCTAGGAACATTATTCGGTTGTCAGAACACGTGCAAAAGCTGCCGCATAGGTCATCGAAAATTTCGACGCGATTGCAAAATATTGAAGAGAGTTATCCTCAAAAAACCTTAGGGGTTGGACCCCTCCTCCCTAAAGGAATGAGGGTCAGCATGATATGTAGCCAGAAAGAGGAGCCGGATCTGAAATATGCGGCTTGCTAATTTTTATATTTCATGACGATCTACCTATTTTAAAATTTTTGGAGAATCGGACCGTATTTCCTTTCCGTCAGCCAATAAGCGTATGAGCATACCAAACTGAGGAATGGCTTCAAGGATTTCCTATTATCTATGCCATTAAAAAATGAGCGTGGGAGACCTCCCCTTGCCCCATGCACACAATACCCCTGCGTTATACTGGTGTTATATATTCTAGAT